ATCCAGCTGTAAATGAGTACGGAAAACCCGGGAAAGATCAATGTCAAAATGTTTGCCCAAGGACCAGCTGGTAGAAAGGATCCTTAACTGTGGGCTGGGGCTGGTGATATACTGGTATGACAATAAAAACCAGTATAATCAAGTTTTAGTGGGCTCATATTCTTTCTAGGTGGGGCAACACAGGGACTGGAATTTCTTGCATACTCAAATTTTGATATTCAGATATATCTGATATCCTGCCAAATATGTGATGTCCATGGCAAACAGGGCCACATACTTGAAACTTCTCTGAATCAATCCTCCAAAATCTCCATCACAGAGGGAAACTTTAAACATACCTGCCACAGCATAGACCAGTTCTTCTATTAATTCTTTATATAAACAATAATCATTGGATTTAATTTTTTGTAATAAATGGATCAGGAGTTCCACGCATTTCTCATGTAAATCTGTACAGTCAGATAATCCTAATAATCTAATTAATCTTCCTATTAACCACATAGTAAATCCTGAAATTAACAAACATCAAACAACTGAATACATCACTCATATAAATTCCTCTTAAAAGAGTCAAATGAAATTAGAACTGGGTGAAATACTCAAAAAATCAAATATTGGCACTATGACTTTATAAAATAAATTATAGATTTTCAAATTTCATTATCGATTAAATATCAAAGTTACAATTTCACCATCTAGTAGTCCTCTACTTCGTTTCCCTACAACACATAACTTCCCACAATAAACTATAACAACTGAATCATTTTACTTCACACAAAAAATAACGCAAGAAATCAAAAATTTGTGAACACTATTAGCTGAACAATTCCAGAATCCAAGACCAAGATACGACGACCTCCGAAAATGGTGAAACACACTTTTCAAGTTGACTTATGATATGTAATGTCCAGGGCTTGTTAAAATAATCGATTATCGTTACCATAAATTCACAATTTTGTATTCCGCTTATAAAATTTCCTAAGCGATTATATGTAAAAGTTATATTTTCTCCATTGTGCCTGTTAACAAGTAGAAATCTCTTCCACATAGTTCCCCCTCGGCAAATAACTCAACCACAATAAGCCATGAAATTAAGGATTCTGTCATGTTTTTAATTTAGTATTTACAGGGTTTCTCAATTAAAATATTTTGATTATTTATCGATAGTCTACGATCAATAATCGATTTCAATTTGGTACTCGATTCCCAGTCCTAGTAATGTCTGACTTAATTAAAGATAAATTACCCAGTTTGAGAGTTCAATCAAAGTTGACAAATAACAAAATATTAATGGGGAGTACTTACCTCTAGAAAGTTTAGCTTCTAATGAAATATCATTAGATTTAACAGCTGATAGTCCTGGTGTTGAAGTTGAAGCTATGCGTGGTGAATAGTGAAATGTCTGACTATTTACACCAACAAATAACCGTATAATATGTAAAGTGACTTGAAGTTCTCTTTCCTTGGCTGCCATGTTAAGATAAAGTTTCACTACAATTACAAAAGAAAAGGATATGTGGATTACTGTAGTTGTTTTTGTCAGATTGATCTGACTGTAAGATTAAGAATTTTGATTCGAGTAAAAACCCAGATGGAGTAATTTGGTAATCAATTGAAATATATATGAAAGTCATTATCATGTGTCTTTGTATCGTATTTAGCACATGAAAATTTCATGATTCTCTATTTGCTCACATGAAGATATCATACATATCTTGATATTAATCTTAAACAAGAGCAGTCTATTATGAAACTGCTCGTTTCAAATTTGTGACCCACTCTTTCAACCTGGAATATGTCCAAAAGGAATTAAGTAAAACCCATGTACATACCCTGATTTAGATTTGTAAAACATTGTTCCACCATTTTACAAATAGTTATTCTAAATTTATAAATATTTTGATCATCATTGCCTTGCCCCATATTAGCACTGAAAATACAAATGAAACGAACTGAATAGAGTTTCTGTTCTACTTTTCTCCACAAAGTGGGCTAATGAAGACGGGCAACGCCATACAGGGTGCGATGAAACAAAATTTGCCAGGACAGCGGCATAAGTCTGTTTTTTTCAACTGTCGAGGGATCTTTAACATGCACAGTCTGTAGCACACAGGGCACTGAAAATACAGACCATAAGAAAAACAAAGAGTCAAAAACAGCAATAGATAATCAAATGCCAAAAATACAAATTTCTTTTTTAACAAAAGGAAATTAAAAAATGTTATCTAATACTTCCACATAAAAAATCAGTTGAAAATACCTTATTTTTAAAAAAACAAAAGTAAAAACAATTTGTGAATTTGAACAAAATAAGATGATATTCAATATTGCTTTGAGAATATTATTGAGATCCTTGGAAGCTGTAATTGATAAAAACATCATAGTATTCATAGGAAACTTTTTGTGAGAAGAGTTATAAAGGTTAATTGGCACAGTATATTTTTGTATAAACTAGACAAAAAATAATCAGAAATTGAGCTCTATCATCAGATTATTTTTTAAATCAATGTTCAGATCAGAGGATATCATGACACAAATGACCATGATTAAATTCATATTTACTCTATGAAAGAAGTAAAGAACCTAACAGATTCTCCTTGAAATATGGTGTTTAAATCCAATTGTACCCCATAGAGTACAAACCACACCCCTTTTCGTCATACTTGCTCTTAAGCAACACATATTCAGGATATGATGATTTCACCCCTTGAGCAGTTTGTGCTAATGGCACTTTCAGGGAGCTGCTGCATTTTGAATTTCAACCTTTTTCCTCCATTAAGTCAGTCTGCACCCTGCCCCCTATTTTTACCACCAGTCATGGGTGGCTGCAGTGGCGAAGCCAGGTTTATGTCTGAGCGGGGACGAAATATCTGAGATCGCCCTAATTTCTACCCTGGTTGTGAAATTTTTGTCCGAAAAACTTGCTTTCAGGCTAAGACTACAAGGGGAGGCAGCTTTCCCCTTTGCACCCCCTTTGGCTCCTCCACTTGGAGGCTGGTGCCAACACTAGTACTGAATGATATTTTCAATTTCATAATGACGTGACTTCATACATAGGCTGTTGCTTTTTATTTCTCTTTACATATGGATTCTTAAAAAATAGGGTAGAAAAAATTGCTTACTGATTTGAACTTAGGAATTCTGCCAACTCTGCTTGCGCCATTTTGACAATTACTGAATCGTATTTACCTCATTCATCAAACAGAGGACAATGAAAGGATAACCTGAATTAAAAATAGCTGCAAAAAATTCACAAGTTCAATAAACGTCAAATCTAATACTTTCAAATTTTTTATAGTGTTTGTTTTTATCAGTCCAATTTCAAGTGTTTGAACCCACTGCAAAAAGTAAAAAAGTAATCTGCTCTGCAATATATTCAAATTTAACTATCCAATCATTATTTTTAAATCAGTAATCAGATTTCACAGAGGTGAATTTTCAATACAAAATTCATTTGATGGAGGTGAATTTTTTGCAATTTTGGCTTTGGGATTGGATTGAAGTGGCAAGCCAAGTGGGATTATTGGAAATGTTAAATCGCGAGACCCCACGTTTACAAATAAGACTATGGAACTAGTGACATTACTGTGATTAGAGAGTTAAGAGTTGAATAGCCTAGATCTGTAACAGTATTAGAAACAAATAAGTCACATTCAACTTTTTGGAAAATTATTTGTGGTCTGAAACTTCTAACACACAGTCAGCTTCGAGAAAAATGAAAACAAATGGCGGGAAAAAAGTCATTTAGCATAACGTAGAACGGATCGACTAACGGATTTTTGGAACCATCCCATACTGTTATATTATAACTTAATACCAAATCTGTGCTTTGGGGGCCAAATGTGCCCATGTCCATCAAGAAATAATATACTTTAAACTCTAAAAGCTGCATCGATAGAACATCCACAGGCTGGATAACAACAGCTACAATTTGTTAGTTAAGTCCCTTATTTTCTAAAAATAGACATTACGCTATGTTTACATTCCACACCTATGCACTATCAGCGATTTTTTTCGTATTATTATAACAACTTAAGGGCTGAACACATACCCCCTTGCAGCTTTTCAAACGGTAAATTAATTCATTTTCTGTATATGAAGGACTATTGATAGCTTACTGTACTTATTTCCTCTTAATGATCACAAAGAAAATCCTAATACTTATCCTTATAAATAATCGAACGTCAATAACTATCAAAGGACGATTAACTATACCTCGATCTCTGTTACACATCTGTAACAATGTTTTGTTTACCCTTAGGCAATTATTACAAATTTAAATTCGTGATAAGAATACACAGTGATATCTCATATATCCTTTATGTACAGGATATAAGAAGATGTCAAAGGCAGGAAAGAAGAAATCTAGTCAACGATATGTGCCCTACGCTAGAGGGTTTATCATTCCGAGTGAAGCAGACAAGATATCTGCCATTGGTTTTCAAGGGAAAATGATACCTAATGAATTCAGAGATGGAACAATGAAGTTCTTCAAAAATATACCCAAACCAACCTCAATAGACGACTGGTTAGCTCAATATGATGAAGAAGGACAAACATATTTACAATATGTTCAGGAATGTCCATGGCTATCACCACGCAAAGTTAAAGGCATGCACCAATCATTTGTTTCCTCAGGAAAAAATTTGCCATCTAAATACCCCTCAGGGAAAATATATATTGTGCCTGTAGGTGATTTCAACGAGAAAGAATTTGTTTCATTCCAATATCTAGTTGATTATACAGAGAGATTTTTAGGCTTGCCAGTTGTTACTTTACCAACAATAAAAATAATACAAGAAAAGGATAAAGTAAAATGGCTTGATGAACCATCCAACAAAATTCATTCCAGGACTAGCCCAAGAACTAGAATAACTCATATAGACAGTCGTCTTGATTCTAAATCTGGCAACTTACAAATTCAGATCAATCCTTTATTGCTCAAATTAAGACAAAACATTCCTCAAGATGCCTTGTGTTTGATTGGATTAACTCAATATGACCTATATGCAGATGAACCTGATTTATTTGTAGCAGGCATGGCTGCTGGAAACCACAAAGTAGCTGTGTTCAGCCTTAATAGATATGATCCATGTTTGGAATTTTCAAAGGAATTTTGGTTTGAGAGGCAAATAGTTGGTGGGTTTACTCAGAAAGAGAGGAAGAAGTTGATATTACAAAGGTCGTGTAAATTGGTTGTTCATGAAATTTGTCACATTTTAGGAATAGACCATTGTATATTTTATGACTGCTGTATGAATGGATCTGGACATTTAGAAGAAGATTTTCAACAACCAATGTTTCTATGTCCTGTTGATTTACACAAGCTTCAAACTTTGTGTGGTTTTGATATCAAGAAACGTTACAAACATCTTCAAGATTTTTATGTAAAATTTGAACTGAAAGAGGAAGCAAGTTGGATTGAAAAACGGTTAAAGTTTCTTGCAAATAAATAGATACATATATTGAAGAGCAACAGTTATCTAATCAATCAACTTTACCACTTCTCGAACCACTTTTCTGATTAATCACACAACGTATACGCCAATCGTTATGTAAGGGGGCTGAATGAGGGAGCAGAAATGAAATGTGAATCGGACCAGCCTCTTTTCTGCTCAGGATAGTATCCCTATTTTCCAAACACAAAATAGGGAACAATTACCTCAAAGGTCTGGTGGCCGTCTTCACCTTTGATATGGAAAAATAAATAAATCTTAGTTATTTAACCAATTTAATAATAGTAGACTATCAGATAACAATCGAATCTTCGATTGCGTGTGAAAATAAAAATGATCGCTCAAAATCTGGTCTGTTAATTGAGCTAATCATCACCAAAATCCAAAGGCATCATCACCAAAATCCAAAGGCATCATCACCAAAATCCATTGGTATCATCACCAAAATCGATAAGCATCATCTTTGTATTGGTAGATATTAACCTACCTGTTTAGACCAAGGATGACAACATTCTGCTGTGCTTGGTTTGTGGGCTTGTAACCAGTAGAGATTTGAGTCGCCAACCCTTCGCCAATTAGGCTAGTCGCCAGACCATAGAAGCTGAAGTAAATGCACAGGCCGGTGTCACTACCAAACTTTTCCATCAAAAACGTGTCTAAGTTTGTCTGTATTTAGAGATAGCTTCATTCTTTGGACTTTATTACAACCAATTCATTAAATTTTGTTCGCATTTTATCGGCTTTGGAAATCCTGTTGCTAAGATTTTCCCGCCATTTTTACCATGCGCGTTTAGAAAACTGGGATGCTATACTATTCCATCAAAGCTATCTAGATAACTTCGATAAGGACAGCCGGCTTTAAGTGTTGTTACACACCCACGATCTGAATTATGATGCCCCCAATGTTAGTAGCTTTTCAGCTCTTGTTTTATCAACATCGAACAGCCTACAACGAAACAATAGATTCATTTTGATCATTTCTTAACCTAACTTTTCATCACTTAATTCCAATTCCAATTTAACCTTGCGAATTGGCCCTTATCATAAGAATTTTATTAGAATATACTTTAAAAATAAAAAAAATAGAATTATAATATATGGTTTTAATAAAAATGTCTCGTTTTACTAAACATTTTATAAAATAAATAAATTATTTATTGTTTAAAAATTGATTATTTTTTTCTATCAATAACAGGATGAACGTACTCTTAAAACAGTTTAATAGAAACTTGATTAATCTAAAATGGCGTAAAGTGGACTAAGGCGACTTCCGATGCAGAAAGGTGACAATGACACCCGCGAACAATCACTATCTAATGTAGATATAATATATCTCTCGGAAATGTCCCTTTCTGCATCAATTTAATCAAAATTAGATTACAATCGTTTCTCTATTGCTATTCTGATATATTTTTGCCTCCAATTTAAATTAGATTGCAAAAGACTAAACAATTAAAACAAGCGCAAACAATTCCAAAAATATAACCAATTTATAGGCTAAACAATATGGATTAACATTAACTAATCGTACGATGAGATAACCATTTATTATGTTTTATTATTTAATTGTGGTAATGATGCCTCGGCGAGTTTCTTGGTGCCTTGATACAGGATTGATATAGGATTGATCGACTCTTTTAAAATATTGATTCAGAAACTCGTCATCGATTTGTTTGCTATAATTATTGAAATATATAATCATACCCGTGAAAGAATAGAGTCAGTCACAACTCGGTGACATCTAAAGGGAGATCTACATTTGAAGTGGCGAGTTGATAAGGTACAGTTTGTATCATGATGCTGAAATGACATAATGAACTTTAAAAGTTTAAGTTTTAAAATCAACGGCTGAAGTTTTTAAATTAAAACTTTCAGATACCTTAAGGGACACAGACATAGATTTTGGTGTATAGTTTTTGAAAATTTGAGCAAAAAAGTTTTTTTTCAAAAAAGCATTACGCTTTAAATAGTTGCTGATAGTTCAGTTTTTAGAGGATAGAGTGTGTTGTCAAAGTTTCCAAGTTTCTTTATGGACAAAGCTGGCAAGGTGGTAAAAAAATATGTGATTCCAATATTGATCAAATATTGCAAGATTTATATCATCCAACGTGTTTCTCCAACTTATTCTAGCCATTTACCATAGTTTCATACAGTCTTTGAAAACCCAGTTGCTTTCTGCACATTCTGTCCGTCACTAGTTCTCTCTTAGTCGCTTTACCAGTATAGATTTTCGATGGCATATTAACTTGAAATGCATGTACCGGTACTTTGTTTTGTTTAGTTATACAACATTAAATAAGCGTTTCAAACTGTACGTTGAAAAAAAAGAAAAACTCATAAATAAATAAGACCTCATGGATGTTATGATAGACAAACATAAATATTGTTTATAATTTTACCATTCGATTTAATTTTCATGTTAAAAACAGTTGTTTCTATGTTACGGGATTGACAAAGAATTGTGTTCTCTTATATGTGCTCAGACACTCTTGAGATTTATTGTAGAATTGTCTATCTTTATAAAAATCTAATTATAAACAAAACAAGCATATTTTTCAGTGGAGGCAAAGGATGGTTTGCACGCCGAATTGTATTTATATACGTTGAAACTATTTTCTCCACATTGCCCATATCTATTAATATTGAAAGATTTTCAAGGGTCTGTACCCGATTCGCACGCCCACAAATTTAAAAATGTGATTATTACCCCATAATAATGTGTCAGAATGCACCAAATGTCCAAATCTATTCATTTTTTCGAAAATTTTCTTGGGAGAACCTTCTCCGAGAGGTTTGCGTTGGTGACACGTCCAGAGTTGCCGCATTTTTTAACTTAGCCTCGAATGTGGTCTACATTAAGTCGGTCTGTCCTCTATTTGTACCCCCAGTTCCGGGAGGCCACTGATAGTTTTTAGGTGATCGACTAAATCTGTATCCGGCATCAATCAACCCTTCTATTCTAACTTTTGTTCTTTGTCTAGTCTATATTTTAGAAGCGAATTTGAATCAGCTTCTAAATCAGTACTGTAGCATAACTTTGCACAACTTTCCTTTTCCAAAATTAAAACTGAAAATGTCCCAAATTTTGTCTGAAAATTGCTCTCTGTACAAATTAAACAAGGCGAACAAGACTTTCTTTGAGCTGATATTCCATTTGTTACGAAAACACTCTGTAACAAGTGGTTTCCTAGCAAGATACGCCCACTTCCCTGATACATTTTCAGTATATTAAGGGCGGTCACCAATCTGCTTCGAATCATTCCAAAAATGAATCTGAAAGAAATTTTGACGCGTTTTTTCCTAGGTCAAGTGCAATAACTAAAGATAGCTTGCCAAGCAAAGTAACAATTACGCCCACTGGCAGCTGTCAGAAATGATAAATCAGTCTCTAGTGACTAAAGTATGAATTTTCTCACATTAAAGAAATTTTATTAGTTTGAATTCAATGATATATATATTTCCTGCCAGTTATTTATGGTGAGAAATACCACCAAATTTTTAAATATCAATATCAATAACCCAAATACATTTAATTATTAAATCACACAGCTCTAATATCAAGGTCAAAAACTTGTTAAGAGTGAAATTTTGACGCGTTTTTACTAGGTCAAGGGTAACTCAAAAACCGTTCATCGAAAAATCGTCGAATTCGAACTTGTCACACCAAATTTCATTAAAGGACGTCATTTAGGACGGACGGACGACGACAATATACGATCACATTATAATGTGATATCATCAATATCAAGTTTCATTTAAATCAGATGAAAAGAGTTGTATCTATTGGGTTTACAAACAAATTTTGACGCGTTTTTCCTGAATCAAGGGCAATAACTCAAAAACCGTTCATCGAAAGACAGCCAAATTCGAACTATTCCAAGATCTAAATATATCAATATTCACACCAAATTTCATTTAAATCGGATGAAAACTGTAGTCTCTATTGTGTTCACAAACAAATTTTGATGCGTTTTTTTCCTGAGTCAAGGGCAATAACTCAAAAACCAATCATCGAAAGATCGTCGAATTTGAACTTGTCACACCAAATTTCATTAAAGGACGTCATTTAGGACGGACGGACGACGACAATATACGATCACATTATAATGTAGGCGTATAAAAAAAGAGAAATAAGCACTTAAATTCTTAGTTCGAGATATTTTTGAAATAATTTTTCGATATTAATGTCTCTAGTACTTCTAAAGACTATTTACATATATTCAAGGCCCAAATCGATCCCCAGAAATGACAGAGAGCATTTCTGAGTCAATTTTTTAGCACTGCAGTCCTCTTTGTTTCTGATCATTCAACTGAAATCAATTGAAGCAAATAATTTCAGTGTGTTACCGCTTAGAGACGGCAGCCCGATTACATCTTTTATGTTCCTTCTCCCAGTGGCATTCATCGGTTAGAGCAGTAGGCTATTATAATGTGACTATTAGAGCACAATGACAATAACCGATTAACAAAAGTTGCAGAATCAGAAAAATCAAAATAAACTTAAATTGTCTTCGATGTAAATCTAGGAAAATTACAAAAAAAAAAAATCAATAGTAAAAACAATTTTCCATGGCAAAATATATATTTCTACGGGCCAAAAGAAAACTCATATATAAGACAAACGTTATAACTTTAAAATTATACATTGAACAGTTGCAAATTACAGAAACGATAGCTTGCCAGGCAAGGTAACATGCGCCCACTGGCAGCTGACAGATATGATAACTAAATCTTTATTGACCAAAAATAAAATTCAAATTCATATTAACAAGGTCTCATCTACATAGACAAATTCAAATTTGTACTGAGATCTCATCAATATATACTTGCATAGGCCTACCAAGTTTCATCAAGATCCGATAAAAACTGTAGCCCCCATCGAGTTCAAAAGTCAAATTTTATGTATTTTACTAAGTCAAGGGAAATAAATAAAAAAAATTTCATCGAAAAATCGTAATACACCAAGTTTCATCAAAGCCCATTGCAAATTGTAGCTTCTATTGTGTCCACGACAAAATTGTGACGCGATTTAACTAAGTCAAGGGCAATAACTCAAAAACCTTTCATGGAAAAATCATCATATTCGAACTTGACCGCCGTGTTATAAATCCCACTGCTCACACCAAGTTTCATTACAATCAATTGAAAACTATAGTCTCTATTGTGTCCACAAGAAATGTTGATGGACGGACAGGGGCAACGATAATATACGATCACATAGACATGTGGGTATATAAACATTAACTCCAGGGGCGCAGATCGCTTTTTCAATGCGGGAGGAGGGGCGGCGGGAGGGAGGGGGGGCAGTGGCGTACGCAGGATTTATTCATTGAAGATGCGAATTCGATTGCAGAGTATAGGGCATGGGAACATTTCAGTTGAGCTAGCGACACCGTATCTTTATAGCTCCAGGAAATATTATACAAAGAAAGGCACCTTCTTGTAAGTTCCTCAATTTTCCAGTCATCCAGCGAGTGCCCACGGCCTAGGAGAAAATTAATTTTGAATTAAAAACGTCAATTTTCACCTGGGTGATCTATAGGGCGACCGATACCTTTCAACCAATCAAAAGCAAGTCCTTTCAGTGGCGGTCTGCCATTTGTACTGATCACATGATATGATCGACGAAAATATGCGCACGATAAAATTCGCTACCTTCGTAACGGCGCTTTTGTGAGTGGAGATGGGCCCCAAAACGAACGATTGGTCTTACTGTCTCTCAACCATAAATTGTTGGAATGGCGCGCAAAATTTCAGCACTTTTTGATGTTCTTGGATGCTAAATTGTGCCTATTTTACGTCCATTACAGACATTCTACTCAACCAAGATTCACAATTAGTGTCCCCCCGTGATCTGAGTCCATGATTAACGTGAGGTGTTGCCCCTCTGTCCATTTGACCCACTTTTTTATGGACGCTTTTTGGATGACATTTTTATGGTTTGGACTTATTCTATCGAACAGTTTTGGGAATTCTTTGAAATTCTCAACAACCACCATCCTTCTATCAAACTAACCGCAAACGTGAGTGACAAAAGCATAGACTTTCTCGATACCACAGTCTTTAAGGGAGATTCCATAGCAGAAACAAATAAACTGGATATTAAAGTGTATTTCAAAGAAACTGATACTCATCAACTCTTGCACAAGAGCTCCTTTCACCCAAAACATACCTTTTCTGGTATAAATAAGTCACAAGTCTTACGATTTCATCGAATTTGTACAAGATCTTCTGATTTCAACCAAGCCTGTACGATTGTTTTCTCAAAACTGAAAGAGCGTGGGTACTCTAAACGATTTTTACGAAACATAAAAAATTCCACCTTAGCACAGATAGCAGCTAAAAACAGACTTTATGCCGAAGTACCTCCAGGTTTAAGAAGTGCTCCATGTTTGTCCAGTAGATGCAAAACATGTCCCTTTATATCAGAAACTCATTATTTTGTAAGCAACTCTACGAATAAAAGGTACCCGATCCAGGAACATCTAACATGCGAACATTCGAATGTAATATATTTAATTTCATGCAAGAAATGCCCCAAACAATATGTAGGAGAAACTAATAATAATTTACGAACTCGCTTTAATGCTCATAGGTCGGACATCAAATTAAAAAAAGACAAGCCTGTTTCAAATCATTTCAACCTCGACGACCATTCAATAGACGATCTCACCCTAATCGCAATTGAGCGTATAGAAATTGACTTGCCCGAAGATGAAACTACCAAATTCCGTCAATCTAGGGAGGCCCATTGGATTGAGACATTGAATACAGCAAGACCTATAGGACTAAATATTCATCATAATGTAGGCATAGCACCCTTTGTTGTCCCGTTTAATACAACCAGCAATCGAGCAAGCAAGATAGTTCATGCCCACTATAAGAGCCTTCAAGAGAAATTCCCCCATGTCTATAAGCAGAAAATGATAGTTGCATATTCAAAAAATAAGAACTTAAATGATAATATTGTTCATAGTAAACTAAAAACAATCAGTACATAACAGATACTATACTTCTCGCCCATCGGGCGAGTTATTTTTTCTAATTTCAGATCAGAATAAGAACAGAAGAAAACCCAATATCAAGACCCTTAATCCTAATTTCTAAATAAAGTGTCTGCTCCACCCTAGGCCTGTACATTTGGGAGAATCAAACCCTCCCTTCCCCGAAATCAAAATACAAGCACAGAAACTTTGATTGGCTGTATCCGCTAGCGTACAATCCAATTTAAATCGCTGCATTTACAGACGTATTCGTATAGCTTGGCATTGTGAAGACTAAGAAATAAGACAAAAAATATTCATCTCGCTGTGCGATTAGGTAATAACACTATTAAATTCTAAACAGACTTGACACATAAATAGTTGGAAACTTAGATGCCACCAAATGTTGATTCACACTAGTACATGATTAGCTGTTTTACTCTCTTAGGTGCTGATTCATACCTAATATAGTGTATTATAGCCTACACCATGGTGTGTGTATTTAAAACGCTACACTGGCTGGTGTTTTGCCAATATGTTGTTTGGATTTAGGATTTCGTTTTGAGGTTCGGATAGGTTGTATTTGGTTTATTTATATACACACTTTTCGGATGTTCCTGGAGACTTTAATGAGTGTGGTATTACACATTTGGCAAACACTTCTAAGTAATATAAATGGCCCACAATAACTGGTGTAAGTAAAGACGTAAATTTGCACTAGAAAGAGTGTTATTTGCACTAGAAAGAGTGTTGATAGAGAAATTTGGTTCAGTAAATGATACGAAATTACTAACTAACTTGTCCAGCTACTTTAACATGGTATCTCTTTCAGATACATGGTATGTTTATAATATGGTGTATTAATTATAACCTTTCCAAGGACACAGAAACGCTGTCTGCGGAGAAGTCAGCATGTCTATATTTAAACAGCACCGTTGACTTAGGATTGGTCAAGGCATATTTTTGCAGGCCGTTTACATACCACCATCCTCCATTTATATTATTTGGGTAGCCATTGCACGGTTTGTCATAGGTACAGAACGGGATATCGTTATTATTTTCTCCTAACCCATCACTTCCCTCATTTCCAGGGTCAACCAATATAGATCCTACCGACATCTGATACATGTTTGGTGAACTTGTGACGTGGAATGCATTGTAGTATACACTGAACATAGTACCAGTTGTGAAGTCGTGGCAGAATATTTGAAGCTTGAATGTCTCACCCTGGTTCAACACGGCGTAGATATTCTCTAGTCCCGACCAGTAGTTATTAATCATTCCAAATGGATATTTATATTCCTCGAAAGATCGGTTAAATGCAACATCATATCCTTGGGCATGTCGTATAAGTATAGCAATATATCCATAGTAATTACACAAGGCCTCGAAAGCATAATTGTTTCCAGTAGGTTTGATCATGACATGTACTACCTGATATAGAATTAGAGTAACTCCGGCTTCTTTAGCTTCTCGACAATCACGAACATATCTTTCACAGTAAGTACCTGTAAATCCTTTCAAACACTGACAGTTACCAGAGTTATAAGTTGCGTCATTTTTACACCCATTGTCATCAGGCGATTCATAAACTTCATTCTTTAGCAACAATTTGTAATTGTAATTTTTTTGAAAAGGAAAGCTTTTACAATTTACATCAAAAATGCCCTCGTGAAATGTACATGTTACCCCTCCTGCAATGGGTTTAATCGTTAAAGCCCGACACCAGTAGTTTCTACCACAATAGAAATAACATTGAAATACTTTCACAGCTGTCCATTGTTCTCGGATTCTGCATGATGCATAATGGTCTTTACAAGTTGTAAATTTACGCAAATCCACTGTAGCATAAAGTGCTCGTGTATAACACAAAATGACAAACAATTTTAAGAAAAATTGTCTGTATGCCATGTTCAATATAAATCACATATCTATTCCAACTGAAACTGTAGCAAGTGATTCATTGTTGAAAATCATGCCGTCAATATACTTGTCGGCTTCCACAAACATTATTATAATTTACATTCAATTTTCATTTCTGCATTTTATTTGATTGTCCTATTCTTGAAAGAATTAAAGCATGAAAGTCAAGGAATTTCAACATGTAAAAAAACTTCAATATCTTTACATCCGTACACACTAATCAATAAGAATATAAAAGATGGCTTGCCAGGCATGGTAATATACGCCCCACTCATGGCAGCTTTGATTTTGAATATAAATATTAGGTAGGACAGTAACAATTACCAGTATAAAATTTCTACCTTCAGTCATACACTTCTTTTAAACTTTTTGGGATTATACAGAACAATATTACCAAGTTTTGTCAAAATCCGAGAATAACTCGTACTAAATATTTTTCGATTTTTCAGATTTTCAGTGGGGTTCATCTTTGGGTGATTACACTCACACCAAGTTTTGTCAAAATCTTTCAAGAATTGTGCCTTCTATGTTGTTTACGAGCTAAAAATATATCAAGGGCAATAACTCATACTAAATAATTTTAGATTTCTCTGATAGTCAATAGGGTTCATCCTTGGGTTATTTCAAACACTCAAACCAATCAATCGAGTGATTTCGGCATGTATAAATGAACTAGAACAGATATAACAGATGACCAAAGTTTGAAACATTCACCAATTTTAGTTACCTAATCGCACGAACAGGTAACTAATTTGATTATCTTTCTTACAATTATACAGAGGCAATAGAGCCAAACGGTGGTTTCATGTTTCTCTGAATCAAGTGGTAAAGGTTTGTCGACTCTGGATGACAATTACTTTCAGGGCCGTATTATTACGATTGGAGACAGGAATCCTTTAAAATTTCTTTAATCGATACAATATCCGGATTCGATGTTTTCTTAATAATTTTTCACACACAAAGGATTTCGTTGCCTAGAATCGGAGAATTGTTAATGTGTTTTGTCAGAATACAAAAAAAGTTTCGCATCAGTTAAGAGTGAAAGCAATATATTAATCCTTACGCGACAGGCTATAAATGCCATGCATTGTTAGAATTCATTAAGCCATTGATAGCTAATCAACAAGCATTGCGAACCTATAGACGCGAACTAAAAAAAAATCAAATTTTAATTTAAACAGCCACAAAATCCAGATAAGTTTAAAATTTTTAAAATCAACTCCAAATCGATTTAAACTTACCGATATTTGTAAGCATGGGGACTTTGGTGATAAAATCCATGTACTTTCAATTTATTCTGCCATCCTGATCTATATATACAACCTCTTGATGTTGTCCTATTTTCTAGTTTATGAATTATTACTTATGTTGACACTATATTTATCAGATGCATGTTGTATTACTTGATGGTGGCACTTTACTTTTCTATTTACAAGATAAACGTTGCATGTTGATGTTCAATATACCAGATACAATATGTTCTATGAATTCATGTTGACATCAATATGTTGATCTATGACCCAGACGCATGAACTTGAGGTTGTTAACCTTAATATATACCTCTACTAGAAATTTTTGTTTTCATCTTCATGTTGTTCTATGTAAAAGTACATGTTCTATTATGTTGTCAGCTTGATGTTGTTCTATTTAAAAGTACATGTTCTATTATGTTGTCATCTTGATGTTGTTCTATAAAAAAAAGTAAATGTTCTATTACGTTGTCATCTTGATGTTGTTCTATTTACAAGTGCATGTTCTTTTATGTTATCATCGTGATGTTGTTCTATTTACCTACTACTAACTATTATATATGTATTGATATCCCAAGGTTGCTATATTTAGTCTTGGAGTAATGTCATTTAATATACATTTCTATCTTGATATATTTTTACAAATATTTATGTTAGCTATTGGACTAATGCAAATTCATGTGGTGTTTATATTACCATAAACGCCATTGCTAAAACATTAGGCGTAGTAATTTTAACCAATGACGTTGTGATATACGACCATAATCGCCATAGTGTGACAGATTATTGCTTAAGTAAATGCACTATTAACTAAGTACTAGTAAGTAGTAGGCCTAACAGACAAATGACCAGATCTAACAAATATACATATACTGTGGGCCCTATACAATGTAAGATTAAAATCAATCTCTTTCACAAATACTAATCAATATTTGTTCTTTAAAAAGACTATAGGCCAAATTTCTTGGAAGCTTTTAGATTTCAAAATATAGCTTGCCAGTATACGCCATCTGGAAGTGGAAGCTTGCCAAATATGATAAATGTGTTGTTTAAAATACAAATTTGTTCATATTAAATATAAACTTGCTTCTAGCTTGTACCTACAAGCCATATTACATGATTTCAACAAGTCCAACAACAAGTTGATAACTAAAAATTCTTTCATCCAAATTCCAACTAGAATATCATCAATATTATATAGGCCTACATGCATACCAAGTTATATCAAGATTGTATAAAAACAGTGAACAAGTCTACAAGACAAATCATGTTTTACATACAAGATAGATTGCCAGGCAAGGTAATATACGCTCACTGGCATTTTTAACTTTGAACATAAATATTTAGCAATACAGTAACAATCACCAGTATGAAATATTCAACTATCAGTCATACACTTCTTTTGAATTCTTTAGGGCGATACTGAATAATATTGAGTATGAATATTTGCCTTATAGAGTGTTTATAACAAGGGCAATAACTCATACTTATTTTTTTTTCATTCTTCCGATTTTCAATAGGGTTCAATGGGTGATTACGAACACTTATACCATTTTGTCAAATCCGTCAAGTAGAATGTTTACGAGCAATTGTGGATGGATCGATAGACGGACAGCCATAGGTAATATTAAAATTTTTTTCCAAATATATCAACTATTTTGCCTACTAGAGTGTCTATGATCTTAATTTCTAATATTTCTGATTTTTAATAGGGCTCATCCATGGGTTATATACAATTTCACCAGGATTCGTCAAAATTTGTAAAGAATTGTGCCATAATCACTTTAAATGAACTACAAATTGAACGCATTTTCAAAAAACAAGGGATATAATTCCAATTAAATATTGTTCAATTTTTCTGATTTTCTAAAGGGTTTATTGATTATTTATTTCACCAATTTTCCTCCCAAATTTTTTTTTTCAAAACACACACATTTCTTTTTTAAATCATTTATTTACAGTTTTAATTTTTTTGCTGAATTATTTGCTACAACCTGATTTTTTCGTTTCTGTTTCTCTGCTTTGCGAGATAGGACTTGAGATTGAACTTCTTCTTGTAATTGTTTAAAGAATGTTGTAGAGGATGTTAGTGAGGATTTCTTCTTGTCAGACTGAAAGAAAGAAAAAAAGATTCTTTTATAGTTACTGCATTCATCAATGTTATGTTCTTATTGTGTTAACCAAAGAATTTTTTCTTTTGGAATTTTTTTGACATGACAGTAAGGTTTCAGTGAGTAACATAGTCTTTTATATCAGACTATATTCAGTTAAAGACTTAGGGTCTCACTGAGTAAAATAGTATTTTATATCAGACTACATTCAGTTAAAGACTTAGGGTCTCACTGAGTAACATAGTCTTTTATATCAGACTACATTTAGTTAAAGGTTTGAGGTCTCAAGGAGTAACACAGTCTTTTATATCAGACTACATTCAGTTAAAAGCTTGAGATCTCAAGGAGTAACACAGTCTTTAAAATCAGTCTACATTCAGTTAAAGGCTTAGGGTCTCACTGAGTAACATAGTCTTTTATATCAGACTATATTCAGTTAAAAGCTTGAGGTCTGAGTAACATAGTCTTTTATATCAGACTACATTCAGTTACAGACTTAGGGTCTCACTGAGTAAAATAGTCTTTTATATCAGACTACATTCAGTTACAGACTTAGGGTCTCACTGAGTAAAATAGTATTTTATATCAGGCTACATTCAGTTACAGACTTAATTTCTCACTGAGTAACATAGTCTTTTATATCGGACTACATTCAGTTAAAGACTTAGGGTCTCACTGAGTAAAATAGTCTTTTATATCAGACTACATTCAGTTAAAGACTTAGGGTCCCACTGAGTAACATAGTCTTTTATATCGGTCTACATTCAGTTAAAGACTTAGGGTCTCACTGAGTAAAATAGTATTTTATATCAGGCTACATTCAGTTACAGACTTAATTTCTCACTGAGTAACATAGTCTTTTATATCGGACTACATTCAGTTAAAGACTTAGGGTCTCACTGAGTAAAATAGTCTTTTATATCAGACTACATTCAGTTAAAGACTTAGGGTCCCACTGAGTAACATAGTCTTTTATATCGGTCTACATTCAGTTAAAGACTTAGGGTCTCACTGAGTAAAATAGTATTTTATATCAGGCTACATTCAGTTAAAGACTTAGGGTCTCACTGAGTAACATAGTCTTTTATATCGGACTACATTCAGTTAAAGACTTAAGGTCTCACTGAGTAAAATAGTCTTTTATATCAGACTACATTCAGTTAAAGACTTAGGGTCTCACTGAGTAAAATAGTCTTTTATATCTGACTACATTCAGTTAAAGACTTAGGGTCTCACTGAGTAACATAGTCTTTTATATCGGACTACATTCAGTTAAAGACTTAGGGTCTCACTGAGTAAAATAGTATTTTATATCAGACTAGATTCAGTTAAAGACTTAGGGTCTCACTGAGTAAAATAGTATTTTATATCAGACTACATTCAGTTACAGACTTAGGATATCACTGAGTAAAATAGTATTTTATATCAGACTACATTCAGTTAAAGACTTAGGGTCTCACTGAGTAAAATAGTCTTTTATATCGGACTACATTCAGTTAAAGACTTAGGGTCTCACTGAGTAAAATAGTATTTTATATCAGACTACATTCAGTTAAAGACTTAGGGTCTCACTGAGTAAAATAGTATTTTATATCAGACTACATTCAGTTACAGACTTAGGGTCTCACTGAGTAAAATAGTATTTCATATCAGACTACATTCAGTTAAAAGTTTGGGGCTTCAGGGAGTCACATAGTCTGTTATATCAGACTAACTTTTGCAGTCCAAATTAAAACTTATAAAATATTTTTATTATTTGCTTAACCAGCAGAGAGGGGTCATTATAGTACATAAACAATTTCAAGTCCTTGAAGTGAATGATAATATAAGTTCTCTCTTCACTTCCTCTGGTTACAGTAGTCTATTTTCATTTACTTGTAGACAAATATTGAATTTTCATTCTGAAATGTGCCAATGGGAAGTAAAAGTCAATAAATGAAGGTAAATGTTAGTGAATTGTTTTTATTGTAAATTCTGTCTTCAAGGGATTGTTAAGAGGCATTCTAAAAATTTGTAGGTGTATGAGGGACGCTGAATGAATTAATTTGCGCCATAACAATTTTCAGTCACATGCATACATGTCAGGAAAACAAAATCTGGAGATTGGGTGAAAAATCAGGTGATTTTTTCAGAGTGTGTAAATTTGTGAATTTTGTGAAACACATGCGCCATACTTTGTAACCAATCATACCTTAGTCTCAGAAACGGGATTATTTTCAGTCCATCGGATGTCAAATCCATGTGTGTCCTGAATTATCCATGTTTTAATGTTAAAATGTCGACTCATCAATTTAAGATACTCTGTGATATATAGACAAGTGGTTGCCAAGCAAGATACGCCCACTTTCCTGATACATTTTCAGTATATCAAGGGCAGTCACCTATCTGTGTCAAATCATACCAAAAATCTAATTTGTGCAAGATATTGTTGATTTAAACAAAGACACATTATTTAATAAAATTCTGACATAAACTGTCACCTCTATCGCTAAGAAATTTTGATGCCTTTTTACTAAGTCATGGGCAATAACTCAAATTCTGTTGATCGAAAAATTCAATCTTGACTAAGATCTCATCATTATAAATGATCATACCAAATTTCATTTAAATCGGATGAAAACTGAACTGCACCATTGTGTTCACAAACAAATTTTGACGCGTTTTTCATAAATCAAGGGCAGTAACTCAAAAACCGTTCATCAAAATATAGCCAACTTCAGACTTGACCAAGATCTCATCATCATAACTATTCACAACAAATTTCATTTAAATTGGATGAAAACTGTAGTCTCTATTGTGTTTACAAACAAATTTTGACGCATTTTTCATAAGTCAAGGGCAAAATCTCAAAAACCGTTCATCGAAAAATCCTGAAAATCGAACTTGTCCAAGATCTCATCAATTTAAATGATCACACCAAATTTCATTCAAATCAGATGAAAAGTGTAGTCTCTATCGCGTTCACAAGCCAATTTTGACGTGTTTTGGCTAAGTCAAGGGCAATAACTCAAAAACCGTTCATCGAAAAATCGTAAATATCGAACTTGTCCAAGATCTCAACAATATAAACGATCACACCAAATTTCATTCGAATCATATGAAAACGGTATTTCTATCGCGTTCACAAGCCAATTGTGGACAGACGGACCGACGGAGGGACATGGGTGACGACAATATAGGTCCACATTATAATATGGGCATATAAAAACTGTTGTCTCTATTGCGTTCACAAGCCAATTGTGGACAGATGGACAGACGACAATATTCGACCACATTATAATGTGGGCGTATTAAAATAATGTCAAGGTGAAATGATGTTTCAGTCAGCATCATCCAAGCCCTCTAAATTAAATGGTACCGGTTGCTGGCAGGCCTATATCTACATGTAACATTTATGCTATCAGTGTCCCCGATACTTATAAAAACTTTAGAAAACCTCTTTACAATCCCTTTAAAAATAAAATCAATGTACCTTAACAACAGTGACATCATTTTTGTTGATTTTACTGCTTTTCTCTAAATCCTTCAAGGCGCTTTCTTTACTGTATTTATTGCCTAGACCTGGATTCATCTTATTGACTAGTTTCTCGTGTCTAGCTTTCTCTCTTATCTTTGTTCGTTTTTCTGCTTTCTTTTTCCTTCTCTCCCTCTTCCTATCTGTTTCAGACTTCTCAGTTGTGCCTTTAAGTTCACCTTTAACCTTGGCCTACAAAATCAATATCAAACATGAACGCTAGCTTGACAGGCAAGATCACACAGTTAAATCAGTTAAATGTTTATATTATGCATTGATTGTCATCTACAAAAACATAGCATATTTCATCAATCTACAGAATAAAACTTTTTTTCTTTTCCTTATACAGAATATCTACTAATTTATTTCAAAATCTCATTTTAAATTTTTGGAAACATTTTGAAATCAACATCAGAATTCCAAACACATTGTTTTCCAAAATCATACTTCTATTTCGTCCCATCCATAAACATAGTTTGTACTTTTTTGATCAATGATCAACAATTTTTCAAAATATATCAGAACAATAAAATCCTTAAGTTTTCTTGCTTTAAAATGATATTGTAGTCATTGATCATTTGCCCAAATTGAATTATTACAATTATTTAGTACCAGTATACATACCAAGCATTACCAATTTATACGAAATTGTTATTCTCCATTGGGGTAGTAAGGAGACCAAACCTGTCATTATCCTCAAAACCGGTTGGACTTTATTTTAGACTTGGTTGATTAGAAACTTATAGAGCACTTTATTCTGATAGACTTGGTTTTTAAGAACATGACTGTCCCTATTTATTTTGAATATTATTATTTGAAAATTACCATTTTAAGGTAGCCTCACACCATAGTGATTACCAGTTTGCGTTCGGTTGTGAATAATGAAAGTGGCCAGAAGTGCAAATTGAAACTCGCAACTCAGTTGCATAAGGGTGGTGTTCAAAACTTAGGACCGATATCATATTCCAACTATATGCAAACTGGTGTCAAGGCCACTTTAATTATATCTTGAAAGGTCACAAGAAGAAAAACATTCGACTTTGAAACTTTATCCATAGAAAAAATATTTCTTACCTTAATTTCTTCAGGTGCAACAAGTTGAGCATCACTCTTAGAAACTGGTGCCACTTCTTCCATTGCTATTGATGGTAAATTAGATATAACACGTAACTCTGGTTGAATCTAAAAGTATATATTTTCAAAATGTAATTAAACTTTTACTAGTTAAAAACATCCTATTCTAAATCCAACAATTTCTATTTCATACTTACATGATTTACAGTCCTATAGATAGAGACTATTTGAATATAACATTAACTTGATAGAGTATGCAATGGGAAAGCCACAAGTGTCTACTCCATCTTGAATTTAAACTGTCAAGGGCAGTATCAGTCAGCATAATCAATTGATCTAATATACTAGATTATGATACTTTATCTGTTTTCAGACAGAAAATACTGTTGTGTATGGGTCAATTATGATTGAAAAATTTCTTTAACAATTTAACCCACCAAATTTTAGTTTTGGCTAATCAAGTAAAATTTTGCTTTGCATTTCTCAAAAATTCGCTAGCAATCTAAAATGTTTCAGTAGCAAACCTTCAAATATACAATTTGATTTGTTGTGATAATTTTGATTTTGGCTAATCAAACGAAAAAACCAAGAAGGGGTCATTTTGAATTGCAAACTGCAATGCAGTACGGCTAAAATTGAACCCTGCTGTAGTTAATGAAATAGTTGAAGTAAGAACACAATAATAGTGCTTGTATCAACTTACATGTTTAGGTGTGTAATGGAAGTTAGATAAAGCATCAAGTTTAATAAATAATGATTGCATCATCTCTTTTATTACTTCTCTTTCAGGATTTCTCTCTTCTTCATCTTCTTCCTATAATACAGAATATTAGTCCTCTGATTAAATACAGATCTAGATGTATTGTTTTGTATTTTACATGAGTTTACTGCACATCTTTGATCAGTATAATCAAACTAAACTCTGGTTCTATTGTTTTATTTGCTATCATTTTTGATATAGTCACTTCAGTTAGGGTCTATAGACGGGCTTCCTTACCATTCCTCAAAATAATCTTTTGACCTAACCCTCTGTATTTTGTGAGAGAGAGAAGAAATTTGATTGGTTATAGCAGATGTCATCAGATTAGGTCAAAAGGTTATTTTGACAATTGTTTAAGAGGCCAGTTTTTAGATCCTCACTGAAGTGACTATATTAAAAATAAAAGCTAACAAAAACAGATCAAAAGGTTTGGTCTAATTTCAATTAGACTGATCTTTGATCTGACTGGAAATCTTTTTTTAATTACGTTCAGCAGAAAATTACCCAATAGCAGCAAAAGTTCAATTTGTAGGAATATCCCAGAATTTCTCAAGTATAGTAAGGAAATCTCTATTGAAGAGAAAAAGTATCAAATGACTCAGAACGTATGAAGAATAGCAATTTTCATCAAGCATATGGAATCAGCCTAGGAAAAAAATTTGAAGTAAAGATAAAATTTTGATAATGTAATAGAATTGAAACCAGTTACTCTACAATTCTGATAAAAGGACGAATTTGTGCTTAAACCATGGCTTTGTGATCAAAAAACTTGATTTATTTTGAAAACCATTTATAAAATTTCAGAATACAAACAGATTGAAAATGGAAATTCACAAATTTTAGTAGCAGTTTTTAATTACATATTAAAATCATGGGTGTATTAACTCTTACCTTGTCTTTTTTCTGTTGTTTAATATATTCATCTTCATATATCTGGGCTAGACTTTGTTTACTTTTTTCCTGATCTAATACAATTCGTTTTTTATATTCCATAGTATTTTCTGTTGGCTTGACTTTTCTCTCTACATCATCCCATGCCTACAAAAGCCTTAAATCATTCAAAAGGAGCTCTTCAAACATTAATTCACAAAATCTATTTAACTGAGTTGAACATACTAATATTCATGTCTATAACAATTCAGCATAATTTATAGTTTAATAACATGAAAACGAGAGATAGTAGGAAATACTAACAATTGATTAACTTCGCAAAGAATTTGAATTTTGATTCTCAAATATCAAATTTCATAATCGATAAAGCCCAACGCAGACGAGGAACATTTTAAGCGAACAATAGTAAAAATTTTGTTTCGATCATTTATTTCACCGTCTGCGGATTACAGAAATACGAACAAAAATGTACGTGAGAATTGTTCGTGAAAAAAAAAATCAATTCTTTGTTCGCCGTCTGCATTAACGACGAACATTAGCACTGAACATTCATTGACAAAAGACTAATCAGCGATCGAAGCCAGACTACATGACACTCAAAATGGCGACGTCCAGTGAATCCACCAACACAAAATTTTGGACTGTGGAGAAGGAGCAGATTTTAGTAGATATGTGGTCGCAATCTGCCTGTTTGTTTATGATTTCTTCGCCCGACTATTCAGATAGAAACAAGAAGTACACTGCGATGCAAGAAATAACACAAGACCTGGAAACAACCGGTAAATTTACAAGATTGTCGAACACACCCTGCTCTTTACGACGTTGAATCCAGGTACGGACCCAAATGCTATTTCATGTGATTTTCCGTGTCCCTGGCGTATTGTTCGAGCTAAATATTCGTCGTCTGCGGAATTATGTTTGTCGTCTGCGGATAACGGAAAATAAATATATTTGTGCGATGTTTTTGTTCGTAGACAGAAATGTTCCTCGTCTGCGTTGGGCTTTAAATGTCAAAGTTACATTTTCTTCAGTGTTCCCGTTAACAAGTAATAATTTCTCCCACATAGTTTGCCTTTGGCAAATAACACATCTAACAATAAACTAATATAACTGACTAAAAGAATTTAAACTAGCGCTTGTCAAATTATTATTCCATGTTCTACCACAATATCCAAATTTAGTCCCTATTAGAAAAAAGATTGATAAAAAATAATGACCTTGTCTTTAATTCTCTGTAAAATAATATCTTCTATATTTTTAGAAGTTTCTTCAGTTATCACAGGAACTGAAATAGATTTAGGAATTGTAACAGGAAATATTACAGAAACATAGATTGAAATGGTTGACATTCTCACTCAAAGAAGTATATATTTTCTTCACTCTGCTCATATGTATATATATCACATTACAAGGATTGTAAAGAGGCTTTCTAAATCTTTTAAGTGTACTAGGGACACTGAAAGCATCAACTTGCACCATTCCAATTTTCAATCTGTGGTTTCAACAATTCCACTAAAACTAATAAAGATGTCACTAATCGCATAATATACTTTATCACATAAGGCCCTTTGCAATTTGTGAGGCAAACCACAGACGTCTGATTGAAAATTGGAATGTCGCAAACTTTCAGTGTCCGCGATACACATACACTTACAGGAAATCTCTTCACATTCCCTTCAAGTTAAATGCTATCATCAACAAATGCAGCATTTTACATCAACAACATTTTATATTTTCTTGTCAGCTCATTTGACCTGCATCACTTGAAAATTGGATTGGAAAAATTGATACTATCTATCTATATGCCTAACCATCTGAGCTCCAACAACCCTGCGGAATTTGTTCCCTTCTAATCAACTTACTCATTTTTGTTGTGTGATCAAATTGTAAATGTTCTTCCAGTAAACTATTTTCTGGACGTAAAGTGGAGCCAACTTCACCAGACATCTGCCAAGGTTTTGAAGCTAAATTGGACACTTCTAATTTGGTTATCTGTTTCTTCAGCTAAAGTTAAAAAAACAATATAAAAATATAAATCTTAACCAAAGATATTTTTCTATGTATTTACTAACACTAATCTACACTCCAGAATTCTATGCAGTTACAAACAACATTATACATAAAAATTTTTGCACCTGATTTGGTTGATGAAGACAGACAATGCCATGCAGTGTGAAATGAGGGAAATTTGGTCAGGAATTAGCCTATTTTTTTCCATTTTCAACTGTCTAGAAGGGATCTTTAAAGTGTACATCTTGTTGGCCTCTGTTATTTTACCATTTGAAAGACTAGACACTTTTGCCCTCGGTTCTGCATCACTGTCGAGAGGAAACTGAGTTGAAAAATCTGACATGTATTATCTTGACCTATGCAGTCGCTGAAACTGGACCTTCAGGTTACCATCCATCTCACTAAATCACCTATCAAGGATAGGTTGAAGTTGAGTCACAGAATTTTGTACCTAAAAATATCATCATTTTCTTGGCAATAGTATACATAAACTGACCTTTTCTTGACGCATCTCAAAAGATGACTTTGTTTCTTCTTTTCTACCACCTCCTAGAACTTCATTAATGTCTTCTCCTTCACTTTCATCTTCTCTTAATAATCTATTCTGATCTTTAGTTTTCATTAATTCATTAAAATCATTTTCTTCACCATCTTCCTCTTCTTCTTCATCCTCTTCCCCATCTTTTCCATCATCCTCATTTTCCTCTTCCCCGTCTTCATCATCTTCATTTTCCTCTTCATCATCCTCATTTTCCTCTTCCCCATCGTCTTCATCCTCTTTCACATCTTCCTCAGCTTCTTGATCTTCTTCCAAATTCTGACTAAAATCCACAGAATAATATTTATAAGAACTTGTTTGGTTACAGAAAAAGACCATTATGTCCCTAGGTCTAATCCAGTATCATATCAGATTAGTGATTATACATCTATCATGACTACAAGACTACAATTAAGAATACAATACACAGGTCCAATAAATATATATATAAATAAAGTTTCTAACTGACCTTTCCTCTTGATCTTTAAACCTGACATTTTTCTCTCTACTTTCTGGCAGGTCAGCATCATCAAAGAATTCTGAATACATAGCATTCCTAGCATCCTCACCCTGTAAATCACAAAATTAGTAAACAAGATTATTATATGCTGACAGTCATAGTAGTTATAGTTATATCAGGTTGGTTTGAGATTTTCATTGCTAGACTAGGATCTGATGCATGTTAGAGATTTTCATCATGGATACAAGCAATCAAAAATCCACACAATTTAGATATTTCAAAATTGTTTTTAAGATCAAAATCTTAGTCTGGCAAATACAGCAAATTGACAATGATGATATATATTGCTCAAACTTTATCACAGAAATGACTCTGAATGAGTCCCTTTTAATTTCCATTTTATTCTGTTATTCAGCATGTTACCAAAAAAAAAAAAACAATTCTATTCATTGATGACAAAAGATAAAAAACCACGAAAAATGTCAAGAATGTGCTAATTCACAATGAATATTAATGTAACTGGAATTTTATCACATGTCAGAATTGTGGATGGTTGTTGAAAAATGTATATCAAATATTTTGTGAATAAAAAATTTTTGAAATGTCAGCTAATTGTTAACACTTTTAGATGCAAAATCAAAAACACACTGTATAAAGTTCACATAAAATTTTCTTCTTCAAGTAATCAGGATCAAATTTATAGATTTCAGGTGTAAGGTAGGTAGAACGAAATGTAAACCAACCTCATCATCAGTTATATCTTGAAATAAATCTATATCTTCTTCTTCTTCATCATCATCTTTTACATCTTCACCTTCCTCTCTCTTTCTCTGTCTTTCATCACGATTCTCCTGCTCTGTTAAAAATGTTTCTAATTGGGATAACTTAAAGAAGTTATCATCCACAATGCTGGGTTTAGATTTTTGAGCTGACTTGGATTTGGAAGGCTCATTGACTTTCTTGTCTGGTTTAAGAATATTTTCATCTGCATCACCTGCTTCCACAGCATCAAAATCAAAGTCATTTTCATCTTCCGAATCTGACTGGTCGCCTTTATCTAACTGTGATTTATATTTAGATATTTCATTATCCAATTCACTTTCATCTGAATTTTCTTCCAAATCTATTTCTGATTCAAGCTCTGAATCCACAATGTCATTCCCCCCAATGTCAAGTTTCTTAGTTTTTTTCTTTTTTGTTTTAAACTGTATAGAGTTTTTACTAGCTACAAGCTGTGAAACATTAGTTAATAACTGTACGATATGTGGATCATTATAAAGTTCTAGTTCTTGCCAAATTTGCTCCTCATCAAAATCGTCAGTAATGAGTTCTGGCAAGGCTTGTGATGGTTTTTCTCCATTCTCTTGACATGATGAATTCAAATCATACAGCTGTTTGGTAGACCTCTTTAATTTATTGGCTAACTTGGTCTGAATACTGTAAAAATAAGTGAAACATAGTTAAACTGTCTGCGATAATGTGCTCAGTTTTTTGTTATGTCAGTTGATGAAACTATTACCAGTCACAAGACTAATGCTTTGGCTTTAGGCCTACTATCTAACTACATTGAGCTTTGAATTTAATTTTTTCTTACATTTCATCAATATTCAACATAAAATTGGTCATAGAATATCTGCGGAGCCATAAAAATATGGTTCAGTGATTTTACATTTAAAATAGACACACTTATCTCCATTCTGTAAAATCATGTTTACAAAAAATAACTTTTCCAATAATGCCATGGTTAACATTTTCATCAACAATGTCAATGTAAGACTATGAGTAGTTTTTTGTAGTTGATATTTTAATTTGTTCACAAGTGCCAAAATTCGATTCAGAAATCATTGTAGTCAGAGAGTAGTGAAAGAGGTATCCGGTCAAAACGATCTGCTAAAACGGTATGATAAAACAGAATGTTGATGGTCTGGTCTTTGGCTAAAACCTGATACAATCAATATCAATAAGTAATCTTTTCCTGGAGATTAGAAAATAAGTAGGAATAATCAAGATATGATTAATTTTACTTAAGAAATTCTTCTGGTTTCTTCGTAACAGTATAAAATTCTTCCAGAGTTTTTTCCACGAGGGACTCTGCGAGGGCTGACATTTTGGTTTCTTCAAAAAACGGAACACTGGTGACTTGATTTTAGCATCGAAGTAAATTTTCTTTTGAATTGCAAATTTCTGAAACATCCGACAATTTTTCTTTTCAAAATCTGTTTTACTTGTCCAATAGATAATTTGACACAAATGAAATTAAAATCATGTCGTTTCAAAAAAATTTATATTTTAATCATTTAAATCTGGGTTTTGTACGTTTCAGTCTCTTTTCGGGCGCCCTCTATAAACAAGTAAGCTTATTGCAAGAGGAACTGTAAGTGTCTAGATAGCCAAAGAACATTTGTCTCAATACTGTTAGTACTTGAGGACTTAAGATAATTTCGAATTTGTGCCATATACGATGTCAAGAATTTTTGTGCAGTTACAGGGGTTTTACATGTCTACCGACTAGTAGACTACATAGCTAACTTTTATCATCCGAAATATCTGCCTCTTCTTGACTTGTTCAGCATCCATTCTGATCTATAATATATGATTTTCGGTTCAGTTGGGTCAGAAAAAAATTCTGCTTTATGGATCCTGGGTCCAACCTCCCTTCTAATCTAAGAGATAGAATTCCTTTAATAATTTCTAATGATTAATCTTTGTGCCCTTGCAACATTTAGCTACATCTGACTGAAATTTAATTGGATTAGAACAAATGATATCATTGACAGACAAGAAAACCTTTTGCAATCACTCTAATAACCTGACTGGCTCTTCACTGCCTCAATTTTCAGCTCTTGATAACGTCGTTTTATTGATCTCATTAATTAATCATTTGTGATGAAGATCTAGTAGTAATTCTTTTTTTTTAAAAATTCAACCCTTAATTAATTCTGACTTGTTTTTTAGTTTGAAGTAGGATCTGGTATTTGATAATCTTACACAATTAGTTACTCACCAAAAGCTATTGAACATATTTCTATTTTTTGCAGACAATTTGTTTCAAGATAATAACATAATACATAATGAGTATATTTGGAGGAACTTCTTCTTTTGGAACTCCTACTGTTTTTGGACAATCTACAGCTCAAACTCCAAAGAATCTAAACCCAATGAAGGACTTTGAGGTAGTATGATATCATTATTATTCCTGGAAGCTCCAATTTTTTTATTGTTCCATACATGTAGTATTTAAAAGAATTTTGGCAACTATAAAAATTGGAATCCACAAATTAACATCCCCATGACAAATTCATGAAATAAATTTTATTATTTTGTGTATTTAAAGAATTGTTTCAATGTAATTATATATTCCTCACTGTTTTCAGTTGCATTAAAGCTCTAAATTGCTTAACACTGCATGAGTTATTCAGAGTATATTCTTTAAAGTTAATAATCTAAATTAATACTTGTTTTACAAAAAATAGCAAACCTACAACAAAATTGATTGTGAGATTTTTTCTTAAACAGGACCCCTGATGTCCATCTCAACTCATTAGATGAAAACAAACTCACTTAATCTTTCAAAGAGATAATGCAATTGTTCAGGCCTTATCATAGGCTAGATAAGATCAGCAAAATTATAACAATGAAGTAACATTTGTATTTTCAGGTTACATCTCCCCCAGATGATAGTGTTAGTTGTTTAAAATTTAGTCCTGGTACTTTGCCTTCAACTTTCCTTATCGCTGGTAGTTGGGATAACAATGTAAGTACAGTACATAATATGTACTTTTCTTCAATCAAATTATCAAAGTGAAGAATAAAGCAACTCTCAAAATTCAAGCACATAGGGTGTTTTAGCCATACCTATTCAAACAAAATGTGTAAAATGAAACAGATGAATTTGTACATTTTAACAATATTATTTCTCCATTATTTACCAATAATTATTTCTTTAAAAAGGGGGCAGGGATCATTCCTTATTTAAAATTGTCTTTTAAAATGCATATGTTGCATAAATCCTATTTTAAAATGTATTTTTTAGGTACGTTGTTGGGAAATTCAACAAAATGGACAAACTGTACCAAAAGCTCAACAGTCACATACTGGACCTGTATTAGGGGTTGATTGGAGTGATGTAAGTAATGATACAAAAACAAAATAATTTTAACTGCATGGTAGTGTAACATTGTTACCATTTGCTGCAATCTTTAGCAAGTGAACAGTCCAAAATGGAATGAAATGAATGGTGATTTACGACCTATTTTTCTGCACCATGATGGTTAATGAAAATGGCAACACCATGCAGGGTGCAATTAGCCGCATTAGTCTGCTCTTTTTCGATTTACAACTGTCGAGGGATCATTAACATGCGCACTCTGTAGTACACAGGGCCTCTGTTTATTGTCCCAACGACTAGATGCTTTTTTCTATGTCAGCCCTGCTTACCAGCATCACTGAACCTATCTCAATTGGAGCAAGTGTCTAACCTGAAATTCAGGTTCACAAAAGTAATATAATAAACATGGTATCATATCAAAGCAAAAGATGAGAAAACGTCTAACATGATTTGAGAGTCTTCTCTATAAAATTTTCATTTATATTTCAGGACGGAACAAAAGTCTTCACAGCCTCTTGTGATAAAACAGCTAAAATGTGGGATTTAAGTAGTAACCAGTTTATGCAAGTAGCAGTGGTAATTGATTAGTTTTCTAATACATGTATTTTTATCAGTCCTCAAAATTTTCATTTTCTCTGGCACACATCCAAAACTATTGAAGCGAATTAACATGTTTCTCCCGCATGTCGTCATTTTTACAATTTCTTATGTAAATACAGAAATTTAAGAATATTAATGAAGTATGTGCAGGCCATCTTGTTTTGATATGGTGAACCACAGTCCAATTATTAATTGCTAAGGGGGCATCGTTTGAATAACAATTTTTGTCAATTTTTGAATTTGTAGTGAAAACAAAGTTGATTTTTTAAGGTTTCAGTCTGTTTTGTTGTGTTTTGAATGTATTTAGTTTCTGTTTTCTTTTTTTATATTTTCAGCATGATGCTCCTATCAAGACTGTACATTGGATTAAAGCACAAAATTACAGTTGTTTAATGACTGGTAGCTGGGATAAAACATTAAAGGTACCACATCTTTTTATATCTATTTGAATTTTTGAAAGAAAAGAGTTGTTGCTCTTAATGTGTATTGAAAACGTTGTATAACATTTAGTTTTCTATCACATAGTTAATTAATGTATATATATAATCCACAAGGGAATTATCCACGAGCAGTTTTTTAAACATTGGGTGCTTTTCGTTTATTTTTTTTTGAAATTTTCTTACTTCAAGCTGGTTTGAAAGGAACCTATGTAAATTTCATTTTCAGTTTTGGGACACTAGATCACCTAATCCTATCTTGTCAATTCAACTACCAGAGAAAGTTTATTGTGCTGATGTTGTAAGTAATACCCATTCTTGCTAAAAGATCTCTTCAAACAATACTCCCTCCAACAATTAATTTCTTCTAAAGCTGGTATTGTTATACAGTATTGTCTTAAGATTGGTGAAATCTTCACTTTCAGAATTTGTAGAATCAACAGAACATTCAATAAAACAAGTTGGAACAGAATTCAGACATATCCACTTTCATGCCTTTCGATTGGGGGCGGAATTGGAACAGACAGAACCTGTTTGGAACTTAACAAACAAGCACCACCATGTATGTCTTGTATGAAATTGACTGTGATTATGTCAAACAATCCAGCGTTTCTTTGTATTATTGTGGGGTTTATGAAGGTTTCAAAGTTTATGACAATTTGATTTCTTTAGAAATATCCAATGGCAGTAGTTGGAACGTCTAATAGAGGAATCATTATTTATCAGTTAGAAAATCAACCACGAGAATTTAAACGTGTAGAATCCCAGCTAAAGTATCAGGTAAGCTTTGAGGTTATTATCCACATGTCAAACTTTGCAATTTCTACAGTTCAGTTGAATTTGGAGAGAATAAGGAAAGATAGAGAAGGAAATCAAAAGCGATTTCCATTCCAGATTTTACTATCTGACTTCAATCTAATAATTTTTCAACCTGGGTTTCCCCTGTCAGTGATGCATTTTTTTCGATCATATAGCTACGTATCAAGTTTCATGAAAATTGGTTGAAGACGTGTGGAACAATTATATTTAATGTATTCGAGTTTATGGGGTTAACAAGGGTGTCAAAATTGTTTAATAAGCAATAAATGATAACTATCCTAAAGATGACATTAAGATCATCTGACACCACTAAACTGTGACAATATGGTACAGTTTTAAATAGTTGAATTCAGTCTTTGAACAAGAAATAAAACAGATTGAAAGGAAGTGGTAAATACCATATGAAAAAGTCAGAAGTTTAAGTATCAGTAAGTATCAGTATCTTGTATTTTCAGTCTCGTTGTATTAGTATATTTATGGATAAGAAGACCAACACACCAACAGGATTTGCTCTAGGAAGTATTGAGGGCCGTGCTGGTATTCAATATGTTAATCCTACCAACCCTAAAGATAATTTTACCTTTAAATGTCATAGGTCTAACGGTGCATCAGGCAGTATGCAGGATATTTATGCGGTAAGCTACTTAAAACAAGTAACTGTTCATCACAATCTGTTTCAATACAGATATTTCATTCCAAATACACCCTGGCTTAATTCACTAATTCTGTGATCAAAGGACATCTGTAGGGGATGCGTATTTACAAATTCAACCTTCAGCCAATCAACAGCTATGTAAAAACCATCACTTTTAAGAAATTCAGCAATATTCATTATTGAACTTTGACTTATATTGTAAGCCACATAATGATGATAAACACCATCAAGTTAAACTTGAATTAAAGCAGAATGTTGTCAGATCTATATGGAATGTGTGAACAACCCAATGGAAAGCCTGAAATATATTGTCTACAACTGTATGTAAAACATGGTGTTATTGAGCTGTTTCTACTTCAATTTGAGGTACAGATACAACCATATGTTGTACTGAATGCTTTTTTTCTTTAAGTTAATGAATAAGCTATATAGCAGGAAATGTTCAAAGTTCAATAAATCCTCTATTATTATAAAGTGAATCTGTATTATGTCTGATGAAATATTACAGGTTAACGACATAGCATTCCATCCAGTTCATGGTACTTTAGCTACAGTAGGTTCAGATGGTAGATTTAGTTTCTGGGATAAAGATGCTAGAACCAAACTGAAGTCTTCAGAATTATTTGATCAACCTATTACATGCTGTAATTTTAATGCACAAGGAAATATCTTTGCTTACGCTACCAGCTATGATTGGTCAAAGGTAAGAAAATGAGCATTCTTTTGCCATGCAGATAGCTATGAAATATTAAGCAGAAATTTGCTTTGTTTAATATCTTAAATTGTAAAGAGATTTATTGAATTTTTATGTGTATCTGGGACACTGTAAACATCGAATTGCACCATTTTAATTTTCAATTGGGCGTCAGTGGTTGACGTAATTCTACTGAAACTTTATGGACATCACGATCACAAAGGGCCTTATATAATGTTAGCAGATTTTGCGATAGTGATGTCATTGTCCCCAATACACATACATAGTTTAGAGAAATCCTCAATTCCTTTAAGAAGAATCAAGAAGGTTACAGTCTTGGCCCACACAGAGAACTTACAAAAAGTGAATCAATATCAGAATGTCTTTGGTCATAGTGTTTTTTGAAAATGTTTTCGGGATGAATTTTTTTTAATTTCAGGGACATGAAGGCTATGATCCTCAAAAAATGAAGCCACATATTTTCTTACGTTCCTGTTTCGAAGAATTCAAGCCATCAACAAAGAGATAAAGTGAAAATTATCAAACCTTGTAAATAAATAATATCGCTTATTGCAACATGACTTTCAAAGTGCTTTAACATAGCTACTGGTAAACAACCTATAATTATGTATGGAACTGTATTTTGCATAGTTGTTGCCTTCACAAAATGTTCAAATGAAATTAAGGTATCATTTTGTAATTTAACATACTTTTTTTGTGGACCAAGAAACAAATAGGTTATGTTTAAGGACAGGTTCACTATCTGTTTGACCAATCGGTCCTTTATTATCAGAAACAGGAATATTTATCTAAGCTTATCATTAACCGTGATCACAGCTTTTTTGAAGGAATTATGCGACTTTTGCACATTAATTTTTAGTAATTCTGATGTCTAATAAAGCCTTCATACATTCAAGACCCAGATCAACCCTCGAAAATAGTGAACCTGTTCCTTTTAAGTTTCTCAGTGGGCAATAGATGTGTCCTAGTAGTATTATATGTTTAAGCTAAAACAATACTGTGTTGCTTTTCTGTATATATTTTGTTTCTTTATCATGTTATAGGGAAAATTTATATGTAGTAAAATCACTGATCATCTGTCAAAAATTCATTGATAATAAACCATGTTGTTTTTACCAGTCTCTATCTAGAATCCAGTGAAATCATCTTAAGGGTTGAATAAGCTTAGATATAGCTGAATTAATATAGAATTACAAGCTGATCGAGCTCAAATTCAGTTTATATATCTATTTTCAAAAATAATGTGTGAAATCTGGCCACGTATTCTCAAAACGCCCTTAGGGCTAGGATGTCCTAGGTACTTATCATCTAACATTGATTGTAGGACATCTAAGATTGTTTCAAGAATATGTGGCCTGATGCCTATACAGTTATTAAAATTGAGCTCCATCAGTTAGTAAAGAGAAATATTTAGACTCAATCCAATTCCTTTATTTTGTGTCAATTTTTTGATTCATTTTTTGAGGTCCTCAATAAACTTTTTAATGTTTTTCCTTGATCAATGAAGATAGAAACATGAAAATTGAGCCAGGTTGCGACAAGCTGTGCATGTTCCAGGTTTCCGCACAGTTTAGAAATATTTAAATAAGCTCTTACCAAAGACCTAAAAAAAAGGTGGAGAAATGAAAAAATGATATGGAGTTTTACGTCCTACTTTTCTGCACCATGTGGTCTAATGAAGACGGGCAATGCCACGCAGGGTGCAATGAGGGAAATTTTGCCAGGACAGTAGCACACAGGGAGGTTTATTGTCCCATCCTAACAACTAGGCGCTTTTTCCATGTCAGCCCATCTTACCTGCATCACTGACAGGCGGAAACCGGGTCGAAAAATCCAAAGTATTATCTCGACCTATGCCGGGATTGTACCCTGGACCTTCAGGTTAGCGAGCAAGTGTCTCACTCACTGAGGCACCGCGGCTCCAAAAAGGTGGAGAAGAAAACAAAATATTAATACTGGATTTCATAATATCTTTATTTCATTTCATTGCTTCATTTAACAATATAACACAATAATCACAATGTTTTAGTTAACTTTAGAGTTTACTAATGACACACAAAGAAACACCTATTATTACCATTACCATACCAATATATGTTTCTGAAACAATAAAACACAGGGTTACTGGGCTGGGATTGATCCAAAACATAAAGCAAATGCAATCCATTATATTTCCAGATACAATAAATAAGAATACAACTTATTCTCTCCAAAATATAAGTCAACAGCATGTGTTTATATTTAAATGCATAAGATATGAAAAACATCATTTCCTAATTATAATATTTTTTGCTTGATTTGTAGGCTTTCTTTAGTTATTAGTGCTGCAATACTATATCATTTACTTAAGGGAAACTTCAATTGTTAAGCTCAGTCTCATTGTGCACCATTGGCAATAAACCCTTGTAGCCTGCAAAGTTCCTTACCTAAATTTTTTTAATTTAACACCGCTATATTTACATCATTTAAAGCAATCAGAGTACTTAGTATTGTATGTTTGCAATTGCATTGCTTCAGAAAAGCATCAGACCATCATATCACGAATACAGGTTTTGACATGGTCTTATTAACCTGTATTAAACTAAGCCCACTACACTTCATTTAGTGGGTGTGAAAATGAGATTGGTACTATTTGAATCTGACCAATTAAATCGGTAAAACAGAAATGAGGTCATGTAAACAAGATACAACATCGCAGCTGCCTGTTGAAGAACACAGTCTTTCAGTAAATATTCTTTAACGAAAATCTTCATTAATTCTGTACCGTCCATATTAATCAAAATATGTAATGGCACGCTGCTTTCGTTTTTACGTTCGCAAACAAAACTTCATAATGAGTGATTTGTTCTGATTGGCTGAAATTTTACCACCAAAACAGAGGCAATTTGATTTATTTAGCTTTATGAATACGTAATTTTCTCACTTTATTACCATAGTCTTGAGGAAGTATGACGAATGGGGGGCTTAGTTTGGAAATAATGGCATCAGACTGGAAATCAAAAAAATCAAGTTAAAGATCTACAGATCAAACATAATTTACCTTTAGATCCTATATGTTCACCTAATAATTTGCCTGATATACTTGTAAATATAAATGTTAAAGAATTTGTAATAGGTACCGCTAATGATAAATCTGTAATAAAATTTATACAAGGAATACTGTGTTGATAAAAAGATCCTGCTTCTTAAAGGTATTAGTATATGCATTTCGAATGATAAAGAAAACATCTTGGTCACAACTCTTAAGCAATTTACTTGTTGTGCTTTCTGGAACCTGTATGCTGCACTCTAGATTCTTAACAGTAACTCTTTAGGCTGGTGTATCATTTGAAGTTACACATTTCAATTTTGTATTGTGGAATTTTCATGAGATAAATAATTGGCAATGTATTTGTTTAAGGATTGACTTTTAAGAGCACAAAACAACAAAAAATAAACTTTAATTTAACAATAAACAATACACACCTGCTGATGATAATGTTATATAAAATAATATTGAACCACACTGATTTAATACAAAAGGTATCAAATACTGAAAGAAACAACAGAAAGTTCAAATACTGAAACCAAAAGAATAAATCGAATACTGTAAGATAGTAGACCACACCCATATACGCCCTTCACGGCATGCGCATGTTAAAAATGAAACATCCATTTTAAGTTTCATCAAATTCGGTTGAAAACTAAGAGAGTAATAGCATATTCAAGATTATGGGCAAGGGCAATAATTCTGCTTCTAACGGTCGAAAATAGCTCAAATTCGAACTTGATCTTCGTTTTATGAATATGTATACACATACTGAATTTCATTTGATTCCATCAAAAAATCTAGCTTTTAGAGCGTTTACAAGCACATTTTGACGGATGGACCAATGGGCGGACCTATGGACGGATGGACAGGGGTGCCAACAATACACGTCCACATAGAGAGATGTGGGTGTATAAAAATGAATCATAGGCTATATTGAAAGAGGACTCAAATAAATATTGATTACAAATATGACCTTCATTATAGTCTTTCAAGGTCAACTCTGGGCTTATTGTTTTAAAAATTAAAAAAGAAATTAATTTAAATGCAAGAAGACACCTTTTACCTATCCATATAAACCAAACAAACTAAAACAATTCATCACTTTAGAGTATGGTGATTTTAGATTGTAACAAATAGCCCACTGATAACAGATCAAATATTATATTGTTCATTTCAAATTCATTTTCTTACCTTCAAGTTTGTAAATAAAAATACAAGTTCATATAAAAATTGTTTGATGGCATTATCTTTTTTAATATTTTCAATTCCTTTACTGCCTTGTCTTATGAATGGATTAGTTCCACCCCATAAAGCTGCAACACATAACAACCAAACAGCATTCTCTGAAGAACAAATTTAAACACCAATGACTATCTTTATCACCTTTGAAGGTGTACTACCTCCAGTCCTGTCATTAGGGTGGGGTATGTGGCGGCTGGACTCCAGCAAGTAAGAATTAAGACTCAGCAAAACCTTCCTCAGTTCATCAGAGGTTGATTCATGTCTTTGTACAAAATAAAAAAGATATAGATTTGATACTTTTTTGGCACCTCAAAATTGTCAGAAGTGAGTTATCTGGGTTTTCAAAAGTACAAAATCTGAGCTCCAGCACCAATTCATTCCTGGCAACAACGGGGCTGACGACCTCTAGAATGACCAAAATGTTAGAATTTTAAAACTTGGTAAAAATGAGTCTTTGTCCATCAATGGACTTAGCTGGTGTTAAAACTGTACAACAGAATCCCTGACACCAGATAAGGTAAGCTTAATCATTGTCCAAGTTTAAGAAGGTAGAATTTATGGGTAGTGTTTTATACATTAGGGAAGGAAGTAATGAGGGCACATTATTCTTACCATATGGAATGTTGTTCGTTATGGTAATGTGGGTATGGCATTAATAATCATGCAAATTAGGCATTATTCACCAATGATATATTTTATCATAAAAGACACTCTTTATAACTTTACCTAGCTGCTCTGCATTTCCAATCATTTCATTCATGCATTACTGAAATTCAAAAAAATACATCGAGCCTAATGGTTTATAGATGTCATAAAAATTATGATGCCTTGGGCATATGGTTTTAGGTCACGCCCATGCCTGTTTGTTTCTGAATAATAGGCATCACGATATGTATGTCAATGGTTGACGTTAAAGGTACCGGACATCTATTTGAGTTCTCTTCAAATAATTTAGTTTTGCGATGTATTAATTTGAATATTTATTCTATAGCCTAACTGAATGAATGAAATTCATAATCATAATAAGTATGATTGATTCCAAAATCGTAGCCGTAACAGAGATCCAACTCTAAATCATTTGGTATCAAACACTACATTAATTCCGGGCCGGGGTAAACGAGTTCACGTATATCAATTCAGTCGACTTGCAATAGTGTAGACAAAGAATATCACAATATTTGATATCTTTTAGTGCATTTTTCCAATAGAAACCATAATGTCTGAGTAAGTAATAAGTATGTTTTAGATTTACCTGACTTGTAGCTTGTAGTACTTTGTTATACTTTGTATTGTGTAAATTTGCTCAATGAGTCGGACAACAAATAATTTCGAATTTTGTGATCTTATTGTTCAAAATGATACTTTCAAATTCATATCGATATATAATTTGATAACCTCATAGCCCACATAACTGTAAGGCTTCGTAATTTCATATGCAAGCTAAAAATTAAACGCGTTTTCAAGATCAAGGGCAATAACTCATTCTTAATATGTTTCGATTTTTAATTTTTCTAATTTCAATAGGGTTCATCCTTGGGTGATTACAAACATTCACACTAAGTTTCATCCCTCAAGGATTGTGCCATTTAGTGTGTTTACTAGCTTAAACTTGAACACTTTTTCAAGAACAAGGGCAATAACTCATACTTCATGTTTTTCTTATTTTTGGGGTTCATCCTTGAGTGATAATAAACAATTACACCAAGTTTTGTCAAAATCTGTAAATAATTGTGACTTTAAGGCGAATCCAAACATCTTTCCATCACATGGACTTGATATTTTACTATGAGAATGAGAATGATGGGCCACAGTGGTTTTTAATTTTTTTTTTTTTTTTTTGAAAATTAAAAAAAAAAATTACGAAAATAAAAAAAATTTAACGAAAAATATAGACAAAAAATAAATAGTGTAAAAAAAACCAAAAATAAATGAAAAAATTAATTTAAAAAAAAAGAAAACAAAAAAAATGAATAGGTAAAAAACCAAAAAAAAAACAAAAAGACCGGAAACATTTTTGAGAACGATAGGCCACGCTCAGCCATTGGCTTTGTAAAATCCTGTATATTTACAAACATGGAGTTTTCTATTTGGCAACTTTTTCTTGGGGAGCATTCACACGAATATCAATGTTGCAATGGAATGTTACTTTATTTCTATTTTGTTATATTCACAGATATAACCCAGATCCTGAATTATCTGAAATTTTAACCAAATTATGGGAAATGGATGAAAATAAATGTTATCCTGGTAAAGATTATGAAATAGAATTACAAGGTAAGCCAGACAGGAAATAGCATCATCTGGTCTCCTTATTATATATAAAAAACATGCCCTAAAAGTTCGATTGTTTTGATGATTTACATTTTGATATGCAGTTATTGTTCATATTGACATTGTTAATGTTCAGTGTGATTTAAGATACACTCCTATAGAAACACTGGCCAAGGTCATAAGTCATTTTATGTCCTGTAGAATGTCAATTTGTAAACAGGTTAGGTATGTCCAAAACATCTTCCTCTTTTCCAGTCTCTGATTGAGAGTTTGACAGTTATCATCTGAATTAGAGTCAGAAAATAATAATAATATTAAATTACCTTTAAGATGATGCTAAATTAGTGTTGGGCACCACCGTAACTTTCGTTTTATTATTATCACTTGACTCTATGACCTTTGAACTTTTGGCTGTGCACACAGTTTTAAATGGCTGATGCTAGATCAGTTACGTTAAAAAAAACTTTGATGGATCGGGAGACATGACATAAATGGTGTAAGAGAGTATGACTGAACTACAAAAATATTCATTTTCCAAATATATCTGAGTTTTGCAGATCTGAGGTGTCTAATTTGTTTTAAAACCACTGCGTCTGCGGAGATGCGGAATTTCACCATTTAACAGGGCCTATTTTTTTCTGCCTTTACACCAGCTGACATCCGTCCAAATAACTATCAGAGGCTGGAATAGAGACATATGTTTTGGTCTAAGGTTTGGGTTGATTCAAAGAGGAGAGGTCAGATTATAACTGAAAAGTGATCATTCATTATTGCTATCACATTAATATTGGAATCATTGTGTCAATATATTGTCAATCTTTGAAAGTAGCCTTTTAACAATCAGAACATGTATTATTCTTCCCCATGACAGAAATATAGAATAAACGTGAAGAATAGCCTTATTATTTATACTGTTAAATCTACATTATAAAAGTTGTTTCAAAAGGGTGCTTTTAAAAGGACAGAGGTGTCATTCTTTTTCATACTCAGAAACAGAAGTTTTTTGGCTAAGCCAATCACTAATAGTGTTCACAGTTCACTGTCAAAATGTGAGCCTTCGTTTGAACGTTAAAATGAGGACTCGTGTATAGAAAGGACATATATAGAAATAGTGTAAAAAATTCCTAGTTTGAGGTATTTTTAAAGGAATTATGTGATTTTTGTACATTTCTAGTACATCTGATAACTATTAACATATATTTAAGACTAAAATCAACCCCACAAAATAGTGCATCTATCCCTTTAAATATTAGATTGGTTATATTTTTCTATCTAAAGGCTTTGTCAAATCTACCAGAGATACAAGCAGAGATTTTTCAAGAGAAAATTTGATACAAAATTTAGATGAAGAAGATATTTTTTCCAGACCAACTTATAAAGGTGAGTGTATATATGTCATTTTACAGTTCCAATACTGCGTCCTTGATCTTATCAGCCAAACTTCCTGTTTCTTAGGCAAATATTTCATGTGTGATTAAAATCAGTTAGCAATCTATGATAAAGAGTGAAGGAAAGCCATAAATCACTTTCGGTTATTATTTACTAAGTGAATCAACTAGTTACATTGGAAAATGCGCAGCAATACAGAGTTAAAATGGTAATTTTCCATACTTGAAAGGTTTTCTACATTGACCTACATATAAGATTAGTGGCGGCTATTTGTTTGAAACTTAGTTGCTATTTTACTTGTAAGGCTTTTGTTTTGATATGAAGATATAGTATAACAAAAGCATTTAAAAAAAGTTGATTTTTACTGTTATTTTCCAGCATTCAGAGCTTTACTGGATAATTATGAAATGGACTGTAGTGAACAAGAAAATATCACATGGGAAGAGAAACAGGAAAATTATGAGTTTTTAAATGCTATATTAGATACAGATGTTATGAAAACAGCTCATCAATATTTAGTAGAGAAGGGTAAAGCATCCAGTGATGTTGGAGACTTTAAAAAAAAATTGCACGACATCTGGTTTAGGATGTTTAGAAGGAGAGGTTGCAGGTATGTTCACTTTGCTTCATGTATTTATTTTACTCAAGAAATATATATATATTGTTTCTTAAATAACAAAATATTTTCACTCTTAAAGGGATTGATTTTGATACTGAATATTTGTAAATAGTCTTCAGTAGAACTTGAAATGTACAAAATTCGCATAATTCCTTCAAAAATATCTAAAAAAAGTCTTTCCTATATCTGACTTTGTCTCAAGAAAAGACAAGTCGTCATTTGAACATTAAAACACAGGTAATTCTGGACACACATGGATTTGAAAGCTCGCATTTGAATGGTGGGCTGTGAACACTATTGCTGATTAGCGTAGTAAAAAAAAATCCTGTTTCTGAGACTAAAATATAATTCGTCAAACGGATATGAACCTTCCCCTATATGATAGTGCTCAATATATCAATTATTGAGCGATATAGAAATATTAACCAGGTTTGGTGCATTCAGACATATATTTTGAGGCAAAAGTGTATGAAAATCATGCTTTTGAATTTGTTAAAATAGATTTGGGGTACAATTAGGGGGTGCAAACCATTTTTCATACTTAATGTATTAGAATTGTAAATTGTAGGGGTAATGATTCAAGCAGTTTTGAACATGTATTTGTTGGTGAAGGTAGAGAAGATTCTATGATAGGTCTACATAATTGGATTCAATTTTATTTACAAGAGAAAGCTGGCCATATTAACTACAATGGCTACTTCAGAAGAGAAACTGTAAGTGCTTGATGAAAATTATGTTTATATATTGTTGAATTGCTGATATATTTGATGAACTGAATGCATGTTTAATTACAGATATTAAATGATTTTGAGGTATGCCACCTAGAAGACAACAATCCCTCTGTCTGTGGACTTAACTGCTATAGTTGAAATATTAGCTAAGGCTCTTGAGCTTAGTTGACATGGAATAAGTGTCCAGGCGTTCGGATGGGACAATAAGAGGTTTGGCCAAGGACCAGCTGGTAGAAAGGATGCTTAAATGTGAACCTAAGTTGTTATCCTTGTAAAATATAGTTGTTTCTTTCGCATATCAATGCCTTCACCCTTAGTTCATTCCAATGATCAGCTTCTTTGACAAATTTTCAGCTCATTCAATGGTTTTCTTTTTTTAGGTTAAAGACGATGAATATCCACGATTGATAGCCCTACAGTTTACATATAAAGGTGAAAAAGCTAAGCCAATGTGTAGCTGTTTCTTGGGAACCAGTCCTGAGTTCGAGATAGCTGCCTATACTGTTGGCTTATTGATGGGCTATAATGGTACCACAGATTGTCAAATTGGTGAATATGAAACCGAAGTCACCATTTATTCCTTTGGAGGATATCATAAGAAACTAAGCACTGCTTACATCACTGCTGCTAGGATGTAATTCTTAAATTGCACACCTCTAGTCTTACATTTAGTCTTATAATATCCAAACCACTCAGGAGAGTTTTCTTAGAAGTTTACTGGATAATATTTTCTATTTCAAATATCATTATTAACAAAACCATATATGGTTCTTACATGAAAATAACACACACGAAAGTAGTTTACAACAATCTCTACTTTGACTAAATAAGTCGAATAAGCTGTAAATTTCAACGAAGACTTCAAATGACATTTTAAGGTTTAGAAATAGCTTTAATGTGATTTGTTGAAACATGTATCATTTTTAAAAATTCGGTTTATTAAGTCAAAGAATTGACTCAAAATAGTTGTGGTCTATGTTCGTGTGTGTTATAAGATATTGTCTGAAGAACAGGGCACAATTTTATAGATAACAATAACTTAATATCCTTTTTTAAAGTTATGTTGTCCTCTCAAATATTGATTTATAAGTATGAAATTATGTTTCCTATGAAATTTTGTCTATTCTTTTAAAATAATGAGCATCACCATTTATTATGTTCACAAAAAATTATTTGACTTAATGCATTGGGAATAACAGTTGTTACTTTGTACTATTGACAAAGTCATGCTTTGGGATATGTTTACCTTTGGAGCAAAACATGTAGGCTAAATGGTCTAAAGAAGGTTAGGTAGAAAATGAAAGATGAAAAAATTTCAGTTGGCACTAAATAAGGCGCAGAACATGATGTATCAAAGTAGTGTAGGTATCTAGAATACTTAATAGAAGTGACATTTTTGCTTTGTATTTGTTGTTTTTTTTTTTATTTTATATGATTTTTTCTCTACACTTTCTTTTTTCTTGGCATTTACATCAAATTATTATAATCAAACTTTCATTACTATCAAAAATCAAATTTCAACTTTAAATACTAGGCCAACTCTTAAGAAATATTGTATAGATGTTAAAGCTGTAACCACTATCTATAGTTGATATACCAAAAAAACCTAAACAATTCATTTTAATTAGTCAATTTGTATTGTTTGCTAAGTATGCACATCTGGTTACATTTCAATGGATTATATAGAGGTTTTCTAAAATTTTAAAGTGTAAATATGCATATTTGCATCATTCCAATTTTTAGTCAGACGTCTGTTTATGCAATTCCACAAGAAATAAGTGTCTGATGATCATGTCACTAATGGCAAAATATGCTTTATCACATAAGATCCTACGTGATTAACGTTGTCATGAAACACGTAAGTTTTAATGAAATAGCCCGAACATACCTCTGACTGAAAAATGGAATGGTGAAAATTGATGCTATCAGTGTCCCCAATACACATAAAAATTTTAGAAAATCTCTTTACTATCCCTTTAATATAGTAACCATGAACAGTCAATTGTGTTTTTGTGAGAGTAAATAGTAATTGAAAGTATATAAGCCATATCTATATTGTGTTTATTACTACCTAAACCACCTCAAAATACAGTGGACTCTTTGTGGTTTGAATAATTCCTGATGTGTATAAAAATATTTTGTTACAACTATAGTGCTATAGATTAGTCATTATTAGAGTTACCTCCCATAGATAATGTAATTGCATTTTTCAATCAACCTCAATATAAGCATTATTTCCAATTTCCATCAGAAGTGGTTTTGGTTGTATCTTTTGATATTCTCTTTTCATATTAGACTTAATTTTTGTCTAGTTATTGTGCTTTAGGTGTAAGCTTACTATAAATGTCTTGGAAAGAAGTAAAGAGCATCAAACCTTTATTAGTAAGATTATTATTAGTATTAATTTTGTTATCTTGCCACTATAGTAGAGTTTAGTCTTAGTCTCCCAGCCTTATACACAGTCACTATATGAAGTCAAGTCTTACTGTGAAATTATATATATTTGTGGGTGCCAATTTTAATAGATACATTCTGAAAGACATATTTTTGAGGACATAAATTAAAGGATTTTAATACAAAGTCAAGTATTATTGTAGTCAGTACACTTTTATAAACCCAGCCATGGCCCAGATCCTTTGTCCATCTAATCAGAATCATAAACCATGACCCTGATCTAGATACGACCACCAAGGAAAGACGTAGAACTGAACTGATCCACGAACTCAAAACTATGACTCCACTAGGTATCAATGAATTCATTTAGCTTCACTGGCCAACCCTATTTTATAAGTATTATTGTTGTTTAATATCCCACAAATAATAATAATTTCACAGTATCTAGTATTTTTCAAACAGTATTTTTATACATGTATTTGGAAGAATATTGCTATCTTTTCAATTTGGCTAATAGCCTTGTTCATTTTTTTCTAATTTGCTTTGTACAGACCTTGTAATTTCTCAATGTGTCAATAATAACATTAGGATTTAAAACCACAATTTGCTTTAAGTCTTTATTTCACCAGGCACAATCAGTACATACTTTGGATTTGCCATGTCAGAAAATTTTGCAATATGTTACAAAATTTATGTACATGCATATAAAAATTTAATATTTCCATCTTTATCCACAGTGAAGCAATACAACCAGTACATGCTTCAGATTACTTGAGATCAAGATGGACTAACATTTATACTATACATTGTTTTATTAGTGCTAATCCTTTATAATGGATTTCTATTTCTAATATTTACTAATGTTAACCACTTTAATATATACTATATGCAAGATTTTTCAATGATTTATATTTGCTTTCCCTTTTTTGTTTGTCTGTAATCTACGACCACAAAATTGATTTTTGAACAATTAACATTTATAAACCAGGATTTTGAAAAGTCTTGCACATAGCCATGTTTATTTTTTACTTTACATTTCTATAATTTTAGATCTATTTTATGGAGTATGGAATCTCGAATACAATTATTCTTTCTCAATTTTTGTTTTTACATTGCTTTACAAGCATTGCTGGATAATGGAAACCGGGTTGCACCTTTCATATGATACAGGGCACCAGATAATGCCCCTCCTGCATAAAGTAATATTATTTTTAAGTCAAATGATCATTGTCAACAGTTCCCCTACTCATTCTAAATGAATCTGAAACCCATGTTCTTGTCCATCTTATTTGAAAATGTTTTCATCACAGCGTATTTTCAAAAGCTTGATTGCCCGATCCGGCCACTACCAAACTAGATCTATCTGTATTGTAGTCAACAATATACTTTCCTTGAGTTGTATTTCTATGTATGAAGGCTTGAATAAGTTTGATAATAACGAAAATACATACTATTAATACAATAACACTTAAAATACCAACACTAATACTGAGAGGAAGGAAGGATGTTTTCATATGGTCTGTATTTGATAAAACCGGGTATGTTAAAACTGAACAGTCTTCACCACTCCAACCTTGTTTACACCCTCCCACACACGAACCGTTCACACTGTTACACCAAGCCAAACACATTCCACAAGAAAGCCTTACAGAACTTTCCGTCGAGTTATTAGGCGTTTCGGAAATTTTAACACTTCTTTCCAAGCATCGATCACCTTCCCAACCATCTTGACATCCGCCATGACAGCTTCCATTTTTTGGATCACAAAAACCATCTAATGCACAAAATCCACAGCGAGATTTACAATCTTCCCCATGTGTTCCTGGGAAACAGCGATCTTGACACATGGCTCCAAACCAACCTTCAGAGCAGCCATTGGAACACGTACCACTAACAATGTCACAAGAATCAGCATTTTTACAAGATCCACATCTCTTACAACTGGCACCAAAAAACCCCTTTGAACAGGTTTCACATTTCGGTTTCGACCATCCGACCTCGCAATCAGTCCGACAAGTGCCGTCGTGCGCTACACATCTAGACATATCTGAACAATGACCGCAAGGTTTACAGCCCTTTCCGTAAGTTCCTAAGGGACATACTGCTACACAGTCAATACCCGTATATCCCTCAAGACATCCCGATGAACACTCTCCAGTGACTTTGTTGCAGACTTCTTGTCGATCTTTACAGTTACAAGACTTATTACAATATTTTCCAAACTTGTAATCGGGACAAACTGTTTTACAATCGATGCCTGTT